AACAAGGGATGCACATCTGTTGCGCATGACAGATTTCCTAGAATAAGACATAGGGTCAGTAGTATCTTCAGTCAGGATTGAGAATGGTTCCCCCTAGATGGAAGGCTTCCCCGGATTGTCATAGTCCGAGACGGGGGTGGCCCGCATCCGCGTGATTATCGATAAGCCTGCATCTGCCGTCTCTTGTGTAATGCCCACGGCGGTAACACGGTTGTATATCGCTTCCAGGTGTAGACCCATGCTTGACCATTGTCTGGTGATCCGATATCGTGCAAATGCTGTGAAGCAAGATGGCTTGCTTTCTATCGCCTCGAGTAATTCAGTCGCCGGCAGCGTTCCTTTTTTGGATATGTGCGAAGCAATACCGAGAGACCCAATACGAAAATGTCCCCTGTTGTGGTATGCGATGATGATGATCATGATGGTTGTCGCGACCTCCGAACATAAAGCGCCCCGACAAGAGGCCTCGTCAAAGCGGCTTTCACAGAGCCAAGGCACGGGGGCCAGCACCAGGCCAGTATCGAGGCCTCAGCCATGCGGTCCCCATATCCATCAATGCCTTCGTCCGATATGGTTACTAGTGCGATGTATGCGATTGTCGTTCGTCCGACCGGTTTACGTGGGCGATCGAGGGGCAGTGGTGCGCTGGTAGTGCCATCGTGTGGTCGTCGTGCGGTACATAAATATTAAGAGTACAGAGCGGATATGCGAAATCTGCACATGAATGATGCAAGACATGGACTTGCTCGCGATGTGAGGGCGTTGATGGTGTTCGAAGCGGGCGGCTCCCACGAGCGAGACCTGTGGTTGTCGCTAGTGGACCGGCCATCACGTGTACCTTTAAGCGCTGCAAAACCATGTGTGCCCTAAGAAGAGCCGCAGTCTGAAAGTCCAATCTGGTCACGAAGACCAAGCTGACACGTGAAGGATGTAGCATGGAAAGCGGATTAGTCGGGACGATCAGACGGCAATGTCGAGGGTGCAATCAGGATACCTGCGGCCGTACCTGGGTAGGCTTACGCAGGTGCTTGCAGGCCGGCTAGAACATCTGTCATACGTTCTGAAACACACACAGGTACTGCAAAAGCCTTACCCGCTAGAGCCCGGTCCGCGCATGCTGCAATTACTAGCGCAAGGCAATCGAGGACCCGGCGATCTGCATCCCTAGCTTTCCTCTGAAAGTTGCGTAACAAACATCCCCGCAATATCTTCCCACCAGAACAATGGCAACTGAAGCGCCCACCGCCAACGGCACCTCTACCAGCGACTACCAAGCACTATGGGCGGACAAATACCGTGGTGTATGTATGCTCGATTACCCAGCATGCCAGGTCTAACGACCCGCAGGCCACCGTAGAAGACCTTGACCCCCCGCCTGCGCTGTCCATCCAGCCCTCGGACCCCATATCATGGGCGCTCATGTCCGGTCTTGAGCGCGACTACACACACCTCACAGTCATCTCGCAAACGAACCGCGCCCTACTCGGCTACATCAGCATCCCCCATCTCCAGCAACTCCTCAAAGAGGGTAAAGTCAAGGACAGCGACCCAGTTGAGGCTGCCATGCACAAGTTCCAACGTCGCGGCAGGCGATACAAGGTCATCACCACCGAGACGCCTCTGGAAGAGCTCGAGGAGTTCTTCGCCGGCGGGGTAGACGGAAGCGGGAAGCAGGAGTTTGCGGTGGTGACAGACGCGAGCAGGAAGTTCGTCCTGGGCGTGGCTACACGGGCGGATCTGGAGAATTTTGCGAAGAGGAGGGCATAAGCTGGCTTGGGATGCTCAGTGATGGGCAATGGAATAACCTCACAGGATGCATTGCAGGCGTTTATCTGGTATACCCTATGGCAATGCTATGGAAGCTCAATTCAACACGGCTTGGAGGACGATGATCCTCAGAAAGTAGTCATCTACGACACATGCTCTTTCAAAATATTATAAATACGTGTTTGCAGTACCCAGGCGTATCAGGCCCTGCGACAGCGCCAGAGGTAGTGATGATCTCTAGCCTGTCCACGCTGCACTAATACCTAAAAACGTGTACAAGATCATGTCCCGTAGATCATGTCTGTGCAACCTTACTCGATTATGTTAAATCTCCTTAATCTTTACATGGCCGTTTCTCGCGCGATGTGAACCGTCGACTCCCCCACACGTCATGGTAGACGGCAATACCACTTGCTGACTCATGTCCTCACATTCCCGATCCATGGTCGCCATGCGCAAACCGCATTCTCGGGTTCCCCACACACCGGAAGGTAGAGCGACGGCTCCGCATGGTTTTTTGGGTTGAACATTTCTGGACGCAAAAGTCCTCAACAGAACTTTTTCTTTCTCTGCATACTCCATCGCTGGCATGCTCGCACCTTCCTTTCGCATGCGCAGTAGACCCCTCCTCCAGCACCAACCATCACAAGCCTGGAGACTCGCACAACGAAAGTCGCCTGTGATCGTCTCCCCGCAACGTTTGAGATGGTCTTCTCAGCAAGCGTCCAAAGCGCAAACGGGCGCTGGCACGACTACGCCTGTTCCTGATAACGCTGCGCCGCCCAAGTCCAAGTTGCCTTTCTACTTCGAGGCTGGATATGCGCTGTTCGCAAAAAGGCCTTCGCGGCCGTTTCCTCCGCCTTTTCTGTCGCTGCCTTCGACGAGTTTCTCTGAGCCCCTGAGTACGCATAACAAGAGTCGTGATCGCCGGCCGACTGTCAACGGGCAGATGATAAGAGGCGTCACAAACGGGGACGATGCGGTGCTGGTCAGTGAGAGCTTTATTGCAGCGAACGACGGCGTGGGCGCATGGGCAACAAGAGCAAAGGGTCATGCTGCGTAAGTCGCGTGCCACCCGGTCGCTTCAAGATGTACAAGTGCTAACTATACTCTGCAGTCTATGGTCCCGCCTAATCGCACATTTCTGGTCCCTCGAAATCGAGAGCGCATCCTACTCCTCCACCTCACCTCCAAACCCCGTCACATACCTCCAGACCGCATACGAACTCACAAAGCAAGCGACCTCCTCGCCCAACGAATGGCACGGCACGACCACCGCCTGCGGAGCGCTTCTCGGTGCAGATAACGAGCAACCCGACCACCCTTTACTCTACGTAACGCAACTAGGCGATTCCCAGATCCTCGTTATACGACCGAGTAGCAAGGAGGTCATATACAAAACGCAAGAGCAGTGGCACTGGTTCGATTGCCCGCGGCAGTTAGGGACTAATAGTCCAGACACTCCGGACAACAACGCAGCCATGGATTGCGTAGAGATTCAGGAAGAAGATGTCGTCCTGGCAATGTCGGATGGCGTAGTAGATAACCTGTGGGAACATGAAATCGTAGAGAACATCTGCGAAAGCATGGAGAAGTGGAACGGTGACAAGGAGAAAGATACAGAAGATCAGACTTATGCTGATGGTATGCAATTCGTAGCGCAGCAGCTGGTCAATGCTGCGAGAGAGATTGCTCAAGACCCGTTTGCCGAGAGTCCGTATATGGAGAAGGCGATTGATGAGGGCCTGTCTATTGAAGGAGGTACGTACAGCTAGCTACATGCGCGAGGTTCTCTGCTGACATTATTCTAGGAAAGCTTGACGACATTAGTGTCGTAGCTGCACAGTGTAAACGGCGCAAAGGATGAAGTCACGAAACGCGGTTTTGATGACTGAACTTCTGCAAAAGACTACAGGTCTCACCACGCGCCGATGACCCCGGAAGGCACTAAGGTTCCGCTCTGGCCACGGGAGGCCACATGGCAAGGCCATGGAAAAGTACCGGATCACAGGTCACACCTTGTACCTCCGCGAACGGCCTTGCATGCGTGTGTTACTGTGTCATAGCGCCGCAGCGCCACGCCGAAGCCCGAGACATATATCGCGCCGAGAAGCGTATACTAGTATCTACGCGAAAGCCGCGAAGAAGTATGCAATACACCGCATTAATGTCAGGGACGTAGTAGAATGAGGATTGGAAATGAATGCTCAGGGTTGCGATATGTAAAACGGTCTAGAGTACAAATGACCATCGGAATATTAATGGGCGTAGTTGCAGTACAGACATTCTCTATCCATCCATATCATCATGTTTTGAGGTCCTCCATGGCGCGTGGGCAAGGATGTGATTCAAGCGTTTAGAGGGAAGCAGCGATTAAACCGATCATAGTCGCCTTTTCCCTTGCTTTTCAAACTTAAATGGCGGGGGCTTGCATCGATCGTATGCTCTCTTCACTGGGCGGCACCGCCAACACCGCTTCGCTTCTGCATAGGAAGAACGCGGTCCCGTTAAGCATGCTTTGCAGAGAGCGTGCTTATAGACAGCCTATGACTTGGGAGTACCCTCACGAGCCGGTGATCCTGTGGGTGAGCGAGTGACACGACGTCTAGCCCTACCGGTTTTGCTGCGAGATCGTGACCTGCTAGAGCTAACGGATCGTTTACGCTTTTTGATGTCGGCGCGAGAACCGTTTGAATCGGCCCCAGACGAAGTAGAACGTCTGCGCCGCCGCGGTCGTGCAGGGCTTATAGACATAGAGCTCGATGGGGAGCGACGCCGGCGGCGGGGAGGAGTTCGTGATCGCGAACGTGATCGCAGCCTGGGTGCTGGTGAGCTCGACTTGTTTCTGACTGGTGGGGAACTAGATCGCGAAATGGGCCTAGGTGGCCTCCTGCTGTCCCGGCTTCGAGACCGGTCTCTCCTTCGTCTTGCAGGTGGAGACTTGCTACGGGAAGGAGACCGACGACGCGCACGACGAGGAGGAGATCTTGAGCGGTCAGCTGACGGGGAACGCCGCGGTCGACGTCGTGGTGGTGGAGATCGAGAGGGTTCTGACGATGGTGAGCGACGTATACGACGAGCTGGTGGAGATGCAGAACGACTGCCCGAGGGTGAGCGACGACGCTCGCGAGACCTGTCGCGACGGCCTCCACGCCCGCGACCACGACCTCCTCCAGGTATGTAGACATCGCGCTCGCGATTCGGTGGGGAGGGTCTTCGTCTCCTGTCACATGTCAGCAGTCTTGATCTTCAGTGTAAATGCGAAGGACATACGGTGGTGATCTTGAGTCGCGATCGCGACGCGGCAGTCCTCTGTCAAAGTCCCTTCCACGTCCTCTACGATCACTACCACGGTATCGTCCTCCTCCTCCGCCACGGCCACGTTCAGGGCCACGCTCGGGTCGTTCCGGACGCTCGCTCTGACGGAACGAGTCAATCATAGCGTTCTGCGCTTGTTCTTCGGCACGACGAGCATCGGCAGCGGCTTTGGAAAGCTACGAGTTGTCAGCGATGGTAAATGAGCAAGCCTCCGACCTAACTTACCTGCTCCTGTTGCAATTCGGCTTTCTTGGCTTCGAGCAATTCTCGGGGCACACCCATGGGACTATCCTGCGCACTCAGCATGAGATCCCATAGTTCTTTGCAGAAAGGTGCCGTCTCCTTGTTGAGGAAGCCCGTGAGCTGAATCTGGATTTCCTTGATTTTGGGCTGCGTCCGTCAGCAAACATTCCGTTGTGTCAACTGGAGGGTTACTGACAAATTGATTCTGCTCAATGAGATTGTAGCACGTCTCGACCACAATGTCGTCTTCGTCACCGAGGATAGTGGTGATCCTGTTAGCAATCCACTTCTTCATCAGGTCGATGTTGACTTTCTCGATGTCGACCTTCTTGTCAAACTCGGGAGGGAACTTTGTCGCCTTGAGGCGCTTCTGATCGATGCTGAGCGCCATTTTGAGGACTTGAGATAGTGTGCAGTTGCAAGAGTAATGGGGTGACGCGTGTGCGGGAAGACGAGTTCGCGACAGTGAAAGCTGGAGCTCGGGCGGGCCCATCTGCGGGCTTGGCGGCAACCACCGGGAATTACGTCGTTCATGCAGGTACGACCGACGCTAACGCTGTCGTCACCCGTCCCAACCCTCACGCTTTCCCTGCCACATCTTGAACTCAGACACTACAGACCGCGATCCGCGGCAAACACTGCATTGCTGCGAGCGTACCACCTCATAAAAAAGAAAATCCGAACAGGTCTAGAGCCTACATTGACGTTAGGTTACCTACTTTGCATGTTTTTATCTTGATGTAGGCTCCACAGTGTTTAGAGTTTTCCTTGAATAAGGTGGTACGCTCGAGATACAAGGCCTTGCTATCATAGGCATGAGTCTACTGTACTCACCTTCGAACAACATCAAAGATTGAAGATGCGATGCGTGCTGCATGTCTTGAGGTAGAGCGCGGACCGCATATCTATATAAGCTACCGCCGGCAGACAGTCGCACACTAGGAACGTAGTAAGCACGTTTTATAATAACACAACCTCATGTCTCACGGCGGCATCTTCAAGGAAGACTCGCTGATACTGCCGCAGCGGCTGGCCTAGATGGAGACGCAGTCTCATCCAGCACAGCTCATAGAACTGCTTGTTAACGAATGGCAGCTCAGCGGCAGTGGCTACCTCCCTCATCAGTCGCACAGCCACCGCGGAAACGATGACGAAGCGCATCGCCTTAAAGGGATCTGCTCCGGCATCGACTCCATTCATCCATCAGGAATAGAAACACAAGCTAAGGCTTTAAGAAGTAGGCGGCTCCGCTGTGCTCAGGCGGGTCTTTGGGTGGCTCCCGCTCTCTCTGTTGTAGATGACAAATCGCCTGAATCTCCAGCCTCCTCTACTATCTCGTCGAAGTCGGCAGGGTAAGAGCTCCGGAAATAGTAGAACTCGCCAATCTCGACCCGCTCGATATCCGTGTCGAAAGCGATCATGCAGTGGCCGCGATCGCTAAACTCAGCAGTCCAAGTTGGGAAAGGCTGAACGCGTACTTGCTGTATTTACGCATCTCTTCCTGCCGTCACCCGATCAAGATGTTTGGGTCAAGGCTTCTCTTTCTGTTCCAGAGTCAAGCTATCTCGATCAAATAGGATGTGGCCACAACCATCCACTTACCTGGGCCAGCATACCATTTTCTCCCGCGTCCAATCTCACCGCTCGAATTGCTTCTCATAGCTCCTCCTTAGCATCTCTCGTCTATCATTAATTCCATCCGCACTTGTCATGGCGGGCCAAGCTGCGGCTTCGGACGTGCCTCTTGTGGAGCAACCCGAGAAGCATACCAAGCCCAAACGTCCTCACAAGCCTGCGAAGCCCGGACATCATGGCAGACCCGTACCACCACTGCCTGTCGAACCGCCTCCTAACCCATATCCTGAAGACACCGACACAGCTGCACCTGAGCCAGATGATGAGCCAGAACCACCGGAACTCGATTTCAAACCTCCTCCCAATCCACCAGAGGAGGGCCCTGGTGAAGCTCAGACTGATGGACCTGCTGAAGAGGCACCTGAAGCTACCCCAGAAGAGCCTGCAGCTGAGCCTGCAGCTGAGCCTGAAGCTGAGCCTACCCCGGATCAACCTCCCGCAGATCCTGCACCTGGGCCGGATACAGAACCTGAAGTTGCCCCCGAAGAACCACCAGCAGACCCACCAGCCGAAGAGCCTGAAGCTGCAACCGAACCTCCTGAGCCTGTAGAGGAGCCCCCTGAGGAAAAGCCGTCTGAATCTGCCGCTGAACCAACACCTGAGGGCGCACCGGAAGAGCCAGCAGCACAGCCTCCAGCTGAAGAGCCCGAAGCTGCTCCTGCTCCAGTCCAGCGTTCGGCAGATCCTGCACCTGAACCTGTCCCCGAGGAGCCGACAACAGAGCCACCAGCTGCAGAGCCCAAAGTTGAAACACCCGAGGAGGCTACATCAACAGAACCTGAGCCGGAAGCAGAGCCAACGTTGCAGGTGCCTGCTACAGAGCCCGTTGAGACAGAACCTGTAGAGCCTCCACCACCAGCTGCCGAGCCTGAACCTACGCCCGCGCCTGTTGAGAGTGCAGCCGAACCGGAGGTACCATCTGAACCAGTTCCAGATGCACCAACAGAACCTCCACCCGCACCACCTGTCGCGGAAGAGCCCGAGGCAGCACCGGCGACTGAACCCGAGGTCGCACCGGTGTCTAGGGCAGTAGAGCCAGAAGCACCAGCAGAAGTAGCACCCGAACCGGAAGCAGCACCTGCATACACTGCCGCAGAGACCGAAGACCTGCCTCCTCAGCCTCCAGAAGCGCCTGCGCCCGAACCGGCACCGTCTGTAGCAGAAACTGAGGCACCAGCCCCTTCCGTAGCCACTACTGCCACGTGAGTACACTAGCTCCTCCTCCGATATCGCTATACTACACTACCCTTACTTTCATACTAACATCCACCAGCAAAACCCGCAAACGCGACAAAGTCAAGCTTCTCGCAGCAATGCGCGCACCGCCCGAGTCCGTCCCTATAATGGTGCTTCTTCGCCAGAAGAAGAAGGCTGGTGAGGACGTCAAGGCCATTGCCGATGCCATGCTCGCGGCTGCGGGATCTTGAAGTGAATTGGAAGATTGGTATTTGGATCGTGGTGGCGAACTTCAAGTCCACCTAAGAATACCCTCCACCTGGCTTTGACTACCTACCCCTATGTAGATGCTACTCGTAGCTCAATTTCATCATTACCCTTGTCTTCATTCACGTGTAACGCCTCTTCTCTGCTTCATACCGTACATGATAAAGATCGAACCCCTCGTAGCATACTCTTCTTTGCGTACTACAACACGTGTAAGAAGGTTGCTGTGTTGATACAAAGGTAGCCCAGACGGCTACAATTCCCTGGAGCCCTCAATAAAATCTTCCCATCTATCGATGTAGACTACAGTACACGAGATGCACCTGGTGTCTCCTGTTCAGATTCTGTCTTGTATACTGCAACTCCGCGCAAGAAGTTACTGATGACATGAAGTGACGTGTATGTAGATACCACAATGTCTTCCTCCGTATTGGCGTTCCCATCCATTCCGTCTCCTCAATGCCCACCGCACAAGCTCTGCTATCGACCCTGACCCCAGACAAGGCTCGCTCTTGACCTTCGCCGCAGAGTCCCATCTTCTCGCGCTGGGCTTCCCCCAGCACTTCTCTATGCTTGCACTCATTATTTTGTAATCTCATCCTCAACCTCAACCCTCTTCACCCGCCAACAGCCTTCCTAACCAAACTCCTCGCTTCCTCCAGGCCTCTGCCCAACTCGCCCCTCTTATGCGCCTCCTTAACCTCGTAGTGGAATTTCAGTAGGTCTTTTGCGCGCTTCAGCTCTGGGTCTTGCTCATCGTCCACCGTTGTTGTCGTTGTTGGGTCTGTTATTGGTGTCTTTGCGGCGGCATCGTGAGAAGATGGGAGTGACGTGGAGGTAGAGGCATTCGCGTGCGCGGATACGAGGGCGAGTGCTGCGGCGGGGTCCTACATGCGAATCTGGATTAGAAAGGGTATACGTTTGTTGGTGTAGGGAGGGCAATGTACACAGACGCGCAGGGAGACGAGGTCGGATAGTATTTCCGCGAGTTGCATTGTGTTTCCTTGGGTTTGCGCCATTTCTGCTGTTGCTGACGGGAAGCTTGGTTCGGCGTGTTTGGTAACAGCTGTGTAATGCAGCGTGTGCGGGTTCTGATAGTTTGGTTGCGATGCGAGCGCAAGTGGGATGCATGTGGCCTGGAAGCTCTGACGTTCACCCCACATCTCGGTTCCCAGCTCCCCGTGGCGGGCAGGGGCCCAGATCAAAACTCCCGTCAATTGCCGGCTAAGTACTTTGCCGAAGACGGTGTGCGACTTTTGTTCTCAATCATCTCTGCGTGATTTTGGGTCATTGTCTTGAATACGTTCGTTGGTTATCATTATGGCGAGTATCCAGGCTATCCGGGCAAATTGCCGCAAGGTACGTGATTTCGTGTCATGTTCGCGCTATCAACGGATTAAGAGAAGAAGAAAGGGTTGAGAAGTCGCGTGAAAGTGAGGGCTGCAGTTGTAGAGTTGCTCACTTGTCGTCACATGTGAAGGCATATGCTGTCTCTCTGGCATACGTGTTATGAAGCTTGAGCTTGGGAACATTGAACGGAAGACATTTAGCAAAGACGCTCTTCGTGCAATCTAACATGTGACAGGTCATGTGCATAGGCAGAAACTATGCAGACCACATCAAGGAGTTGTCGAGTGCTACGCCTAAGCAGCCCTTCTTCTTTCTGAAGCCACCGTCGTCTATCTTGCTGCCAGGCGCTGGCCCAGTCCTACGCCCACGTGGTGTAAACATGCACTATGAAGTTGAGCTTGGTCTCATCATGGGAAAGACATTGAGGGATCTACATCCTGAAGATACCAAGGGTGCTATGGATGCTATCGAAGGTACTTAGAACGCCATACATCCAGCCAGATATAACAGTATATCGAGATCCATCCGACTGACATCCACGACCAGGCTACATTCTCGCTATCGATATGACAGCTCGTAACGTGCAGGACGAGGCGAAAAGAAAAGGACTCCCATGGTCTATCGCAAAAGGCTTCGACACGTTCATGCCCATCAGCAACTTCATCGCGAAAAACAGAATCCCAGACCCACAGAAAGCACACCTTTGGCTCTCAGTCAACAACGAAATGAAGCAGTCTGACAACACTGAGCTGATGCTTTTCCGAATCCCGAGACAGCTGAGCGACATTAGCAGGGTCATGACACTGGAGAAGGGCGACATCGTACTTACGGGAACCCCCAAGGGTGTGGGCCCAGTGAAAACGGGTGACGTTATGCGTGCAGGGCTGAAGGTCGATGGAAAAGACATCGAAGAGGCAAACTTGGAGGTGCCAGTTGCGGATCGCGAGGGGTTGTACGAGTTCAGCGAGACATAGAGTCAGTTCCCTAATCGAAGGCAATCAATGAGGCTCGTTTGCTTCCGATGGATACCAAAAATCATCGAGTTCCGATACCTCTTGTTTCGTCCTAAGAGGATTTTTTCTAGTGCCAGACCCAACAGCTAGCTCAACTCGGCTGCCCGTACTGCGAGAGCTCGAAGGCTTAGGAATGGCCTTCAAACGTGACAGTGGCGCTGCTGCTGCTTTGCGAGGTGACTTCTTAGCTCTGTCTGCCACAGTGGTATGCATATCATCGCTCTCGCTATGTGCAATCCCTGTCACTTTCTGCGGACTGCGTAGTACAACAACGAGTGACTTTCGCTGCTCCTCATTGGCAGCGCTCGGTCGAACTGGGGAACGATTCACCCTCTTGGCGGCGGAAGTGGTGGCTTTAGGTATGTTCGACTTGGCAGGACTTCTCGTTACCAACTGAGTGGGTTCAATCGCCGTATTCTTGCTTTGATTTGCAGCAGCATTGCGCTTTGCGGTTGCTGGAGCTCTGCCAATGGGACGTATCGCTGTGCTGGATCTGGACTTGATATGGTCTGATCCTTGATCATGGGCAGTCTTTTGCTTCTTGCGCAATGAAAGAGCTGGCTCGACCAACTGTGTTGGTGGGAGGAGTAATTCGCTACCTATTACATGAGGCTTCCGCTCTTGAGCATCCTGTTCTTGAATCTTCTTGGCTTGAGCGCGAGTCAGCCTTTGAGTGTGGGGCTCCTTTGTAGGCTGCTTTCGCTTCCGTGTGATGGTTTTGTCGGTCAACTGTGTTGGAGGCGGGGCGACTCTGGCACGTGGGCGAGGCTTTCGTGTAGGAACCGGCACTGGGGCTGGGGCTGGGACCGGAGCCGGGGGCGAAGGATGAGTAGGGCGGCTGTGATAGACCAGCTGTGTCGCAACTGGAGCAGCATATACTGATTGATCCGATTTTGGAGCAGGTGTTCGGATTTGTCTCTGTTCCTCTGCCAGATGTGGCAACATAGAGTTGTGGATCGAAGGTCTCTGCATCAGTCTCTGTCTTGCTGACTTCACTGGATGACCTGGAGGCACAGCTGGAGTAGACGTATCGACTGGTCCCCTGAAATAGTCGTTAGCGTTACAAAAGGTCGTTGCGAAGGTCGCTCTTGCCTCTGTCTTATCTCTGGACTCTGGGGTACTTGAATCTCTTCACGTACAGAACCCGGCATGAGTATCAGGTCTTCATCGTCCGTGTCACTTGTTGCTTCTGAAGTTTCGGCGTTGGGTAACTGAGACGGTGTCATAGATCTCAGCATGCCATGCTGAGGCCTGGAAACGGTCTGTGGGCCAGCGGTGTTAGAATTGGAGTTGGGATCCTGCCGCGTAGATTTGAGCCGGGTGACTTCTTCTTCTAAACTCTTGATCCGACGCGCGTCTTGATTACGACCAGCTTCGAGAAGATCAAGACGTCGAAGAACACCCTTCAGTTCTCTAGGGACATGTTTGAGCTTGTCGAGATCGTCCACAGCATGAGACACAACACTGTCCAGCTCGATCTGCTTCTGCCTGACGTGCTTGTTCGTGTCGACGAAGATGCCGAGGCGCGTCATCTCGCCTGCTGCCCACTTCTCGAAAGCCTTGTCGTCATCTTCGGCCTCGATCGCTGCGAGTTGTTGCTCCAAGTGTCGGACCCTCGATGTAGCAGCTTCGGCAGCCTCTGCAACGTGTTCGGTAGATCTGATGCGGGCTTCGTATTCTTCATGATGCTTCTGAAGTGTTCGCATCTCCGTGAGCAGGTGGGCGTGCTGTTGTTTCATCTCTGGCCCCCATAGCAGCGCCTCCGCCGATGCGAACGGCATACGTGAGTCGACATCTGTCGCCGAACTAGGTCTTCTGGGACCCATTGCGAGGGGATGCGAATCAGTGACGTCAATGCGTTAGCTAGTACGATGCGGTGATGAGGGTAGGTGATGTTGCCGGTGAGGCCAAGTAGAATACGCTACATGAGAGGTGACGAGAATGACTGGCTGTGTGCGCCGTAAGATGAGAGGCGATATTCGCGACGCGATGGTGGGTCCAGACGAGAGAAGCAGGCACGAGGTTGGGTGTGGCTTCCTCAGTCGAGCAGCTTCACCGAGCTGGCACATCTCCGCCACCCCATCAAGGGATAGACTGGACACCACCTATAGACGTGAATAGAAGCAAACAACCTGGAAATCTGCATCAAGTTAATAGTTTGCTGACTTCCGTTCTGATAACAACGTAGACTGCAGCGCACCTGCAAAGGTTCCTTTTCAACGTGGTGCGGCAACACATTAACCGCAACGCCTTAACGAAGACCAGATCAGAAGACAGTTAATGAAGTAAACTCTTTCTTATTTCATGCTACCTACTGGGCACACCCCACTTCCACTCAATCAGATCAAGCAGTACGCTTCGGTCCTTTCGGCGCATCTATTACATCATCTCTCTTCATGATGCGAATCTTCGTGTCTTTCTTTGCGCTATCTCCATCCGATTCAGATTCCTTCGGCCGTTCCGCCACACTCTTGTCGTAGCTACTCGGGTCGATACCAAGAATGCCACCTACATTGTTGCGGTCACCAGGGACAGAAAATTCGCGGAAGGCATAGCGCCATTCGTTCAGGAAGCCGCGAATAGCCTTGCCAACTTTGTCCTTGCCGTTCTTGGAGTGGTGACCTGTTCCTGTAATAGCGTAGACCGGACGCGAAGAAGAGCTGTGCTTGAGAAGGATGCCTTCGAGATACGAAACCGACTCATCTGGATGCAGACCTGGGTAATGTTAGTCTCGTCATGAACACACGACCTATCTCGACGTACCGTGAAGATCAACATACAGCTCTCTCGAGCCGTCGCTGTCCTTATTGCGATCTTCGTAAAGGATACGAGCAGCTTCACGGTGAGCTTCACGCATCAGGTTGTTCTCACTCTGCCCCCTAAGACTAAGAGCTTTAGCCGCGCGCGAATCGCTGCGATTCCAAGCTTGAGCAGCGCTGTGGTATGTTAGCGGTGGAATATCGTAGGACGAGGCATGCCGCTTACCTCTGCAAAAACTTGTTGCGCAGACTGCCATGCTTGAAAGCCTCGGCGCGAGCTTTGAGATAAGCCTGATTGCCCTTCTCACCTGTCTCCAGCCATGGAATGTGCTGAGGAGCGGGTATCGCCTGGGCAGCCACACTGTTCTCACGAGAGCCTGTAAAGCTCTTAGTCGGTCTCAATCCCTTGCGAGCCGGAGTGGCAGGAGCCGGAACAGGCGACATGCGAACGACATCTGCAAGATTGTTAGGTCCTGGAGCATCTTTGTGATGGCCATGTCCACCTCGCTTGCCGTGGTGACGCTTTCCAGTCTTAGCAGCAGCAGCGGAACCCAGACTAGGGAAAGCGTCGTTATCGTCGACTGCGAGCACCGAAGGTGTGGTGGCACGCGAAGTCTGGCGACTGCCGGTTCTAGACTGCGGGCGGCTACCGCCTCCGGGAGTGAAGTTTGCAAAAGGACTAAGTCCTGGTGGAGGGCGTGTGGGGCCACCACCTGTCAGGCCGTAGAGCTGTTCCAGAGAGGTCGCGGCTGATGTTATCGAGGGTGTGCCTAGGGGAGAGCCGTTGTAGTGGAGTGTGGGGAACTCATAATCGGACATCTGGAAGTTGGGTATTGGTGGAGTTTGGACGTCCGACACAGCCATACGAGCCATGAGCGCAGAGGGGTCATGTGAGAAGAGGCATGTATCGCCAGCTAGACAGTTTCCATTCAGAAAGTATCTGTATTGGGTGTTAGCCTGGACTACCTAGAGAGCTGTGTATATACCTACTTGCACAACGTCTTGCTGGTGTCATGGCTGAATCTGCAGTCTGCTCGCGCGCAATGTCCGGTTGACAGAAAGTACTTGCACACGATGTTGCTCTTCTGCTGGCCCACGGGTGTACTAGGCCTGAATGCTGGGCTCATAGACTTCCCGATGACGTATCCTGGGTGCTCGGAGGGCGTGGTAGGGAGTTGTTGTACGTCCAGTTGCTGTCCCATGAGTGCGAGGAGAGCGGCACTGAGGTCGTAGCCATTGGCCTCCAAGACCTTCTCTAGCTCTTCGTCTGATCGGTCGTCCCTGAGAATCGAGCGCAACATGTCGTATGGGCCCATGTCCATGGTCTGGGGCTGGACCCATTCGGCCGCGGCACCGTTGAGCGTGCCGTCGCCCAGGAGAGACGACTCAGTGCTCGCGGCGTCATCGTTGACTAGCCAGTCGACGGAGTGGCCATCGAGGTCGCCATACGACTCGGTGTTGGGACTTGCACATTCGCTGAACTGGTATGCGCTCAGGCTGGGGCTGTGGGGGATATGCGGTGTGGAAAAAGCAAGGCGAGGCGAGGGTCGCGGGGAAGTAAAGGGGGACGCGGTGGACGACTTTGTGCGCGCGAATCCAGGTGGCATGGGGAAGCCCGGCGGAGGGTGTACCATGCGCGGCGAGGCGTTGACAGGAGTAGGGGCGCGATTGGCCTGCCAGGGAGCTGGCGAGGGCCGGCGGATGATGGTATGGCGGCTCGGAGGAGAGCTGGACAAGCTGCCGGCGTCGCGATAGCGCCACAGGCAGTCCAGGACGATGTTCTCGAGTGATTTGCCCGTGAGGTTGGTCTCCTTGCGCATCAGCTCCTCGAGCTTGTCCGTCTTGTCCTCCTCATCCAGGGCCTCGTCCTGCAGCACAGGCAGCGCCTTCTCGTACAAGTCGTCGGCGACCATGGCGATTACTTCCAAGCAGGCAAAGGATACTGGGCGATGGGTGTTCGGGTGTGGCGCGCAGGACGGGTGAGGTCAGAGGTCAGAGGTCGGGGTCCAGGTCGAGACAGGAGGCCGTCGGGGATGATTACAAGTACTGCGGGTAATGGCAGAGGAGCGACCGGCGCGTCACAGGAGGAATGAAGCTGCAACGAAGGGCAATAACCAGTCCCGCAGCCTTCTTCTGCAGGACACACCAAGTGCGCCAAAACGGGCAGAGTGATGGAATGCCTGGGGCGATCTCGAGCGCGAATGAAGCTCAAGGGACTAGGCTCAACTACGTAGGGGTGGGGGATGCTTGCACCGTGCAGCAACGTCGACCATACAGCGGGAACGGTAATCTCCAGCACTTGCTCCCGGTCTGCCCTACATGGCCCTGGAGCCTCGAGCGGGTGGTGATGCGGTGCGTGTGCGTGTGAGTCTCAGCTGAGCGAGGATGACGACTGGGGCTGGATAAGAAGTGCTGCGATGGCATTCGTCGGCGGAAAAACAAGCTGCAACATATGCCTCAAGTACTTTCGAATAGGGCTATGGGCGCCACAGACTGCGAGAGGCTGAGTAATCACGTGCTTTGCGTCGTGTGGGTCCGCGGAAACATCCATGGATGCAGTACGTTGTAGGTTGCTCGGAGCTGTCTAACATGACCAGAGCACATGTCACACACAGTATATGCGCATACAATGCTGCAATCACCTTATACACGAAACAACTTGAACAGGTCTGCGGACTACATCACGACAAAAACCTGCAAAGTGGGTAACCCAACGTCAACGTAGGCTCCAGGGTGTTCAGTTTTTTGCTAGGTTGACTTGCAATCATCGAATTATAGTTGTCCCACGCGCATGCCGAGCAAGACTGCTTTTCAACTCGGGGCCGATCTGATCTAATCGCCTAATGCAGGGCGGATCCATGGCGGATGCACCGCGTTCGTCCGCCCGGATGACGATGAAACCCAGAGCTCTCCAACAGCGCCCACACCACACTAGCATTAGCATCTCACACCAAAGCTGCCTCCGACGCTCCACTACCACCACGCGGAATGTCCGTCTCCAGTTGTATCAGCTAGCATCTCCCATTATCCTTCTATTCAATTCCCTACCGCATTCACATCCTCTTACCTCCGCATACTTCCGCGCCACTCCGTTAGGCGCACCTCCCCGTATCGTATAGAGGCATCTATCAACATGCCAGCGAGCGATTATGATGTCCGCGCCCTTGCGCTCCCTTTAGACGATGAGGAAACAGGCCAGACGCCAATATGGAGCCGACGTCCGCAATCATCCACCTTCCGGCGCAACGCATCGCACCACAGTCAACAGAGCTCATGGCGGCAGCGCGCCATGGACAAGTACGATACACTCTCGCGACGAGTCCTCGATCAATATAACAAACTTTCTCCCCTGCAGAAAGTGCTGTTCTTCGTAGGAAACTTGGTGCTGGCAGTGGGCGGCATACTGTTCCTGGTGTACAACGAGCGCATATTCGGGGCCCTGTTACCCGTCGCGAAGAAATGGAGAGACGTGACGGCCGGATGGCTGATCCTCTGGGTCTTGATCTTCATCGTATCATTCCCGCCATTGATTGGCTATTCGAGTTTACTCACCATAGCCGGCTTTGTCTATGGCTTTCCCAACGGGTATGCTTCACACGTCATTCACAACATGCAATCTGACAGTATACCAGTTGGTTCATCGCCGCGACAGCAACCGTCGCCGGCAGCACAGCATCCTTCCTCCTCTCGCGCACCCTCCTCAAGTCTATGGTCCACCGCCTCATAGCCAATGACACGCGCTTCGCTGCCCTCTCCCTCACCCTCAAACACGACGGCCTCAAACTCCTCATCATGTACCGCTTATGCCCGCTACCATACTCCATCTCCAATGGTGCTGTCGCAACCTTCCCTACCGTACACTGGGCATCATACGCTCTAGCCACAGCCATAGTATCACCTAAGCTGATGCTACACATATTCATCGGCAGCCAGCTCGAGAAGATTGCCGAGAGTGGAGGCAAAATGGACCCCAGCACAAAAGCTCTATCCTACGTTTCCATCTTCATTGGTCTCGTTGCGGGTGTTACCACGGGCTGGCTCGTATACCGCAAGACCAAGGCCCGCGCTGCACAGCTAGAAGCTGAGGAGCGTGCGGGTATCCGTCGCATGAGTATCGAGGACCTTGAACATGAATACGCGGACGACCCGGGAGCGCTGGAAGCTGCCGAGAGATTACGCGAGGAAGATGACGATATTAGTCTCCGCACCACGTGGGACGATGAGTACAGAGATGAGCCACCCGAGACGGGTGATGCCGTGGAAATCGGCGACGATCCTTTCAAGGATGGCGATGCCAGTGACGGAGAAGAACGGGGACGCGGAAGGCAGAAGTAGACGGTCCTTTTGCTTAGATCGCTTGGATAAGGCGCGTACCTACTATAGACTACTAGAATTGAATCCGCATTGTCAAACAGCATTTCCTTCCAACTATGTTGTGAGACAGGCATCATCTGGCTACAAGCCAAGGGAATAGGCTCTGGATTTCGTTCCATATTCCAGACATTCTATATTACGTTTGCCTGCTACAGACAAGTTTGCGGTTTTAGAGAGTTTTTGATACTGGTCCTGGGAGATGTTCAGCGTTTGCCCCATTGACAGAGGTGTGGAGTATGAAGCAATTTACATATACAGGGTACCGCCACTATTTGTATGCTACCCAAAACGATCACGGTATGCCCCAAGACGATAGCTAAACACCACAGACATGACTTTCTCCCTGCGTAGTTTAGTATTAGTATCACCATCATCGTCATATGCGTCAGGAACAACAAGTATAACAGAGGAAACGTTCATTTGTCATATACAGAGCCTCCACCATCCCACTTCCATGAGCTGAAAAAGAGCCGTATATGTACCGCTAACAGGAGCACAGGGAATCACAAGAGGTATTCGTCGACCAAGGTAGGCGTGCGTTGCCAGGCTGATGTCAATGCAGAAAAACGAACAAATCTTCCATATTGAGACACAGCTGATGGCGAGGACGCATCTTCTATTATACATCTATTCTCAAAGACCAATCAGCACTTTTTTGGCCCCTCAGAACATTGGAATAGACAGTACCCACTCTTCCAGCCTTCAACTCGTTTATGCCGCGAAGCTCTTGGTGAAGCTCTGTGCAACCTCCCTGAGCTTGGACTCGAGGTCCTTGCTGAGCGCACCTTCCCGGTCGATCTGGTTGAGCATGTCCTGCTCGTTTGATCGGAGGTGGGCAAGGAAGTCAGCCTCCCACTGAAGAATCTTGCTGACGGGTACGGAGTCGAGGAGACCGTTGATACCAGCGTAGATCAAAGGAACCATCTCGTTGACGGCCATGGGAGAGTACTGCTTCTGCTTAAGGAGCTCAGTGAGACGCTCACCCCTCGAAAGTGTCTGCTTAGTCGCAGCATCGAGATCGGAACCGAATTGGGCGAAAGCAGCAACCTCACGGTACTGGGCCAAGAAGAGCTTGAGGGAACCGGCGACCTGCTTCATGGCCTTGACCTGGGCAGCGGAACCGACACGGGAGACAGAGAGACCGACGTTAATGGCGGGACGGATACCCTTGTAGAAGAGCTCGGCCTCCAAGAAGATCTGGCCATCAGTGATGGAAATGACGTTGGTAGGAATGTAAGCGGACACATCACCACCCTGGGTCTCAATGACGGGCAGAGCAGTGAGCGAACCACCACCAAGCTTGTCGTTCATCTTGGCGGCACGCTCAAGGAGACGAGAGTGGAGGTAGAAAACGTCACCGGGGTAAGCCTCACGACCTAAATGTTGTCAGTGTATGTCTTACATGCAGTTCGCACGGGGATAAAATACCGGGAGGGCGGCGAAGCAAGAGACTCATTTGACGGTAGGCAACGGCCTGCTTGGTCAAGTCATCGTAGATGATCAAGGCGTGCTTGCCGTTGTCACGGAACCATTCACCCATGGCTGTTCAAAATTGTCAGCGAATACATCCTGGCTACACTGTCGAATGTGTAAATGAACTTACAGCAACCAGCGAAGGGAGCAATGTATTGCAGAGGGGCGGCCTCAGAGGCGGTGGCGGCAACGATGATGGTGTACTTCATGGCGTCGTTCTCCTCGAGGGTCTTGACGAGCTGGGCAACGGTGGATCGCTTCTGACCGACGGCAACGTAGATACAGTAGAGCTTCTTCTTCTCGTCAGTACCCTTGTTCCATCGCTGTCTAATCTTCATGTCAGCTTGTGTTGCTTGCAGGTGGAAGAATATTTGCGTACTGGTTAAGCATGGCGTCGAGGGCAACGGCGGTCTTTCCGGTTTGACGGTCACCAATGATCAACTCACGCTGACCACGTCCAATGGGAACCATGGCGTCGACGGACTTGAGACCAGTCTGGACGGGCTCCTTGACGGACTGGCGGGGCAGGATACCGGGGGCCTTGAGCTGAGCACGGCGGCGCTCAGTGGTCTTGAGGGGACCCTTTCCGTCGATGGGGTTACCGAGAGCGTCAACGACACGTCCGAGAAGAGCCTCGCCAACGGGAACGTCGACAATCTCTCCGGTACGCTTGACGGTCTCGCCCTCCTTGACCAAACGGTCAGAACCGAAGAGCACGACACCGACCTGGCCGGCTTCCAAGTTCATGCACATGCCCTTGACACCGGAGGCGAACCTGTCACCCCGTTAGCTTCCATGGCAAATTGTCGTAATGTGCAGGTGGCGTACTCGACAAGCTCCTCAGCCTGGACGTTGTTCATGCCGTGGACACGGGCGATACCGTCACCGACGGACAGGACACGTCCAGTCTCGGAGAGGCTGTTCTCCTCCTGGACACCGCGGATCCTCTGCTCCAGGATGGAGGAAACCTCGGTGGGGGTGGCCTTCGCATCGGCGGCGTAGGATCGGATGGCGTTGGTGAACGCGGGAGCGCGGGTCTGTGGGCGGGCAAAAGGCGTCAGTGGTG